CGGCAGGTAGCGGAGTCAAGCATATTTGGTCTACACATCTGTGAGACATCTTGAAGACTCCCGTTCATTGAAGAGGCCCTCCGTTTCCAAGACACCTCGAGTTCAAGAGGCCACGGAGAAGGGCAACACTTGACATCACTGGCAGGTGGCCTCGCCCACGCCCAGCGAGAAAGCAACTGGAAGGAGCGTGACCGGGTGGTTGGGAGGGGACCGCTTGGGAGAATGGTTGGAAGAGACTTCCAGGAAGAGCCTTTTCCTTTGCTGTAGCTCTTGGTCTGAATAACCTGATTGGCATACAGTTGAAATTGGGGTAAATTAGAGGATTGGAATTGAACATGCGTTTCTGGTTTTAGTGGATATCAAAGGCAAACAACAGTATGATGCGTGGGACTTAAGTTGTTAACAAATCAGGCGAGTGAAGTTTCTTGGGACTTCATGACGCTGTGCGAGGCAGCTTCCAAAGCGGAGGAGGAGGAGGAGGCACACAGCACGACTTTGGACGAAAGAGCAACGTTACAAAGCACAGTGCAATGACCAAATTGTGTGCTGGCTGGTTGCAACATTGTTCTTGATGGGACCTATCGACCTGTTTGGAGCCTTTTGATGACCAACCCCGAAGTTTTGGAGCACATCTTGTTTCAGTCAAACTTCACATTTGCTGACTCAAGAAAATGGTGCGGCAGAAGTCTGGAGTGCTGCGGAGTGCCCCTTCACATCCTTCAGCAGCAGCAGCGCTATCAGCAAGCCAGCAAGTTTTACTGTTGGAGAGCTTGTGATACCTTCAATCTCCCATTTGCATCTATTTGCCAGCTCTTGCTTTTCGTAGACGCATCATTTGACGTTCGTGGCAAGGTCAGGCACCTTATCGCCGTTGATTGAGCTGCATGACCAGAAGCCGCACCTGCCTAAAGCCATCACAAGGCCGGTATGCCACTTTGACCTCGACCCTCTTGGGACCTGAGAGCTTGGGGGGAACTGGAGTTAAAAAGATACTGAAGCCTGAACCCGTTTGAGTCCATCTTGGTCTCAGGAAAATCGGAAGCGAATGGCCGGGGCGATTCTTCCGGTTGATGTGAGAATCACGATAGACTCTGCACATAAACCCTGAAAGCCTGCACAGGTTTAGCTTCCAAGCCTAGCAAACCAGGCAGTCCATCCATGTCCATCCTCAGGTTGGAAGGCTGGAAAGCAGTCTTGGTCACTCAGGCGCCATGTGGTGGGTTCCAACCTTGGGCTTTCGCCACTGGTGTCCATGGCATGTTATGGGCTGTGTAGCTACAATCATTAGACCCCAGCTCTCTCCATCGTTTTTTCAGAACACCAGTTGGACCAGTTGGAGAACTCTTCCAGTTGGACCAGCACTTCGAGAACATCGGACGGTTGGATACGTTTAGAGAGCGCAGCGTATCCCGGGAATCCGTGGATCGAACTGGGAGGAACGGACAGAGCCGCCCTTCGAGCGGAAGTCCTGTTTGAAGCCGGAGACCCAACGGGAGTTGCTGGTGACGGACACCAGAAAAGGACCTCCCACGAACAACAGATGTCTTCCATGCGTCCAAGTGGCTTTCAGCTCAAACATCTATAGAGCTTTCGGTGTCAACTCCCTACCCTCTACCCAAAGGTTTGCATGGAAGTAGCCCTCACGCAACTGGGGCAGACATTCGCACCTAGGGGACGTCGTTTGATGGACCTCCAGCGACAGGGTTTTCGTGGCCGGTGCAGGGTTTTCACTGGTCAATCCGGCTCCAACAAGTCTTTGAATGAGGGGACCTGTGGGTGGGGATCTGTGGGGATCATTACTGTATATGATATAACCCCACTCATCACTGACTTAGGTACAACTCTGCTTGGCGCCATAAGTATAACCCGTGCCGTAGCATCGGTTGGGGTGCACAGAGAAGCTTTGTCCAAAAAGAGAGCAGATTTACGTTACTTTCATTTATCCGATAAATGATCGCTGCTAGATACCACTCTGATGGAACCTCAGCCCCTTGTTTCGTGCTCAGCAAAGGATGTCCAACCTTAGGTCTCCAAGTTCATCCAATTTCGACCACAAATTTTGATCACAAGGTTGATTTTCCGGCGCCCTGTATCGTATCCACGCATGTTCTCTGTCCGCTCCTGCTTTGTGAGACCGTTGCACGCAGCCTGGATTTAAGGATTTGGGGTTCCAGTGGTACAGGATTTGTTTCACCCATATCACAGCCACCGAAATACTCAAGAGCAGTACCCTCCGACTCACTTCTGTGGAAGTGGAACATGGATGAATATGGACCCTTGGATGATGATGTTCCTTTACGGATAGGGTGGTGCAACCACTTTCATTTGATCCTAATGTTAAGTTTCCCTGAAAATCTAGGAACCAAGTCATTAGCGCGAGCGCTTTCTTGAAGAAGCGTGAGCTATCCTGCGTCCATGCTACCTCTCTACGGCCTACCCTCCCCCGTGCACTACAGGTCCGCACGCTCCGCACGATCGCGGCGACGGACCTCACGGCCTGAATGGACGATGCGGTAGTCCGATGAGGATCACATGCTGAGGATGGTTTTTCAGTCATGGCAAGGGTTATATACAAGGGGAGCAAGACCGTAAGAGACACTTGCCATGGTCCCTGGTAGCTGGTATGATCCCTCCGCTCAATCACTCCAACAAAATATCCGGAACGGCTTTGTATTTATGGTTGGGCACCGATAAAGAAGACCCATGAGACGGAGTGACACGCGCGAGTTGCGGACGTTGAATGATGTCCAACTTGCCGACCAATGGCCATATTTTAGTCTTCGATTTACTTGAAGGTCTTAAGACAGAGGACTAAGCTGGACTTCAGTGGGGTTGACGGGACATCTAGGATTTCTATGGACTTCTTGATCGTTTCTTTCCAGAAGCACATTGTAGGGTCCCTATCCTGCACGCATACCACGTTATTGAAGGAACAAGAATGTCCAGGTATGGATCGACAAGCATCTTCAGTGGCTCCTCAGAGTTTCGCTCGCTTTAGTTTTTGGTTTAATGGCCTCCAACCTAATAGCGTCCTCGCTTCTAGTAGCTTCTTGTTTACTAGTAGTAAGGCCAGGAGCTACTAGTAGCGTCCTTGCTCCGTTCGTAGCGATGCCCTTTGTTAATCCTGTCCACCTATTAAACAACACGCCCCCCCCCTAATAAGAGAAACTCGGTCGCATTTTTTCTAATAGGGGGTCCCTGAAATGTGGAGGGTCCAAAATAGGGCCACCTGGGAAGAGCTTCAAAACCAAAAAGTCATCCACAAAAGTTTTATATAACATCCTTTATTAAACTCCTATCAAAAATTAAAAAACCTCCAGATCGAAGGGTCTTCCTTTTCCCCTACAAAAACCTTTATTGGAATACTGATTATTCATTAGACTAACAACCAAAGCTTTCGAAAGGTGATGTCGCTGTGCCATGCGGTTTTGCACGACCTCGGTGGGCAAGTGCGTTTGCATGAGTCCGTGCCATTGGAGGAAGGAACATCTGCTGGTGTAAACGCGGCGTGTCATGGAGGATACACAGGGCGGACAGGTGTGGGCAGTTACGGTTGTTTTTGGAACCTAATAAAAGAAACTACCCCCAAAACCGACCATGTTGGTAGTTTAGTAGCGGCTGGAAAGGGCGGTAACTTAAAAGCAAATATAAGCCTAATTTAGGGCTTTGGGCGTGGTGCTTTTTTACACGGGGAGGCTTTTTTAAAAGGCACTCGGGACTACTAGTCGCTTCTTGTTACGTTGGTGCAATAAAGCTGACAGGGCGACAGGGCGGTACTGACCGTGCTGACCATGGGTCCTGTCATGACCTTCAAGTCCCTCTGGGGGCCTCAACGGAGTCCGAGGCGAATTCACTTTCAGCGTCCCTGTGCCAGATGGAAACGCTTCCAACGGAAAGGCCTCACAGATGGTGCTGTTCATGAACTGCACCTCCGTGGCAGTTACTACTTCAGCTCTTTTTCAGCTATCTATTTCAGGTTCCAGGTGGTTTCAGAACCCATTTTTTCCCGGAGGATGGTTTCAGCTGGCTCAGGTTTTTTTTGTTGCTGCACGCATGACAAGTCTCGCTTGGTCTCAGTGGCCAGTTTGAATCTCGGACGGATCGGAGAAGTTATTTAGATCTAGCTCTACCACTGGGTGGGAGACTTCAGCAGCCCGTGTTGAGGTGGTCAACGTTTATATACCTCTACTTTTTTGACCTTTGCACTTTGCCACCTATAAAATGACTGGGATTTCGAGCTTTTTTGCTTCGAGAAGGGAGCCAACTGCACCGATCCACTGATCTGTCCGATTGTCCAGGGAGTTTTGGCATGGCTAAGTTCATGCTGACAACCCGACTCTGCTTCTGGGTGTTTGGGAAGAAGTGCACTGAGAATTTGCGGGTGAAGGGCGCTTGAACTTGGGTGGCACCTCATCTGCACTTGTTGGACTACGTCAACATGGGTTACATGGGTTGCATGGGTTGCTCAGTGATGCTAGTTGTAATGGGCCTTACGACGTAGATGAGGTTCAACCATGTTCAACCAACTGAGCTTTCATTCACACGCGTCTATTTTGTTGTCCAGAGTCTGTCTGACTGCCCCTGTTGTGTTGGAGTTTGATCAAGCTTTACTTACTTCTCCCATTTTGGGCCTTTGGGCGGACCGATCCCAGGCTCAGAGCGATCAGCAACACGTGAAGAAGAGAAGCGAGTAAGGAGTGACAGGAAGTAGAATCAAATTTTCCTTACAGTGTACTCCGTCGCTTTGACCCAGTTCATTCGATCAACACTCCATGATCTCATGCGTTTCCCTTCAGGTGACGATCAAGCAGTCAGTGCTGACAGAGTGTTTGTTGGTGGAACAATCTAACAATATTGGCGGATCCCAGCTCACAAAGCACAGTGCATCAAGGCGGCTAGGTGGATGTGATATGTTTCTTTTACAACTTTTGTTCAATCACACAAAAACGACACAGAATCCAAGAGTGTGTGACTTGCCAACACTGCAAGCCGAACATCCACTCACCGGCTCAACCCGCCGAGCCGCGGCGCACCGAGCCGCAGTCCGCATGGTCTACCAGCGCAGACTCACTCGGAGTCCGTGGCCCTTCTGGGGCACAGCAGTGGCCAGCGTGGTGGCTCTGCTGGTGATGGGAGTCAGGGACCCTCAGGGATCCTGAGAGCCGAGAAGTTAGCTTTTGAGATGGAGGAGGGAAGTCAGTGAAGTTGGTTTTGAGATGTTTTGAGCTTACTGGCAAGGTAGGGGCTCAGGAGGAGGCCTAAAGGCTGAAGTCGAGGATCGAGGGTAGTTGAAAAGCCTTGGCGCATGGGATTCTCGGGCATTCAGGCCACTGGATTCTCTTGCACCATGGCTTTCACGGCATTAAATTCCAATCCACGAGTCCAAGTCTGCATTGACTTGGCAGTGGCTCAAGACATCTCAAGACTACAAGAATGCCACATATGGCCCTTGTCTTTCAGAACATCAGAACTCGATTCCTCCTTCGTGACCCCATTCGGTGTTTCTGAGTTGGACGGCCGACCGGGGCGAGTTCCAAGGCCATCTCATGGCACATGTCAGGCGTGAACGGCTGAGGATCCTTTGGTTTAGAATGCAAAGGCGTCGAAGGCGTTCGAAACGTTATGGAAGGTGCCGAAAGTTGAACCTGTGAAGTTTCTTGGGAGGGTTCATTTTGCTCTGGTGGTTCTCCAGTGAGCTCTTAAGATATGCGTCCTTGAAGAGGTATATATATATATATATTTGATTTTCGGACTCAAGTTGCGCAAAAGGCTGGAGAGTAAGTCAGCGAAATCAGCCAGCGGCCTCCCAGCGGTTTGCAGGCTTTCGCCTTGCTGAAAGCAGATGGTTCAATGTGCCAATGAGGTGCTGCACAACTGTGAACCATGTGTATCCTGACGGGTGCATCCTGAAAGTGGCTGACTTGTGGTGACTTTTTTGGAGTCTTCCTTGCAGGTCTTCAATGACAGATGCAAAGGCAGACAGGGCAGGGTTGGGCTGGGCATGGTATGTTGAGTGATGTGGTTGTTGCAGAGCTTTGCGCCAGATGGTCCATACAATTTACGCTGAGTTCAGTCAAAAAAACTGTTTAGTTCAATGAAAGGAGTCTAAAGAGCTTGAAGGTGGTCCCACCCAACCACTGTTATTTCCATGTGGATCACTAGGAAACCGAGCCTCGGCCTGCAGCACCAGGCTGCAATCCCCGCTCATTCCAAGCACCAGGACCTCCCTGCAGAGGTGAATGCCAATGTCTCTCAGAGAGGAGTTGGGGAAGTGGAGGGACTGGCTCGTGCGGCTCGTGTTTGCTGCCTGGCGATGGTGAAAGGAGAGCTCCGACTTGTGTTCACGGTTCTTCTTCTTCCCAAATCTCACGGTTGTTTGAGAAGGTAAATGGAGCACCAAGCGCTTCCTTTGTTGCAGTCAGACAAGAGGCTTTGCAGTCAATAGTGTAAACTCACATTAGTTGTTGATATCCTTTGCACCCCACCATCAATCAAGCCCAGCTCAAACTAAAGTGCTGTGTTCATGGAGGACGTGACCTTTCCGAAATCTTCGACCCAACACGTCAGACGCTTTGATCGACGCAGGACTTCCGGAGCTTCATCATCCAAAGCATCGCCTTCCATCGAGGCATGGCCATCGACTCGACTCGAGACGCGCCATCGAGGCGCCGATGGTTTCTCTGACAGTTTGAAAAGGTGGTCAAATGGAACTTGCATAAAAACATCCATATTCAAAAAACCGGCAAAATGGGATGCAGACTTGATGCAGATCTCTTTTTTGACTCTCTCATTTTTTTGGCGCGGCTTCAACTCGATGCCGTTTGGCTGGTTCGTTGAGCTCTTGCAGGTTGCGCTCCCTGCGTGACCATTCGGTTTTTGTTCGGATCCATTCCGTTCCAAGGGTTTGGGTGTCCTCCGCGAAAGCTGGAGCGCTTATAGTCTTAGTACACTTGGAAAGACAGACAAGCGGGTATATACTACACACCACAACCACTTAGGTGAGTGTTGTTAAATAGGACGGAGTTGTTCGTCCTCGGATGAAATCGATTGATCGGAGGACAGCCTTGGCGATCTCCTAGCCTCCTAGGAGCCACAAACCAAGGACTGAGGCACACAAATAAAGAAAACATGGTCCAAAAATCCCTCTGAAGCACCGCCAAACATCGACCATGTCGTGAACAAAGTGGAGATTTGCCCATGTCCAAATGTTCTCCAACTTTTTGGAATGCATCTTGACTTTTTTTCCAAAGCAACGGAATTCTGTGGAACGAATCCCTCCAAGTTCTTCCCACCGAAGGAGTGTGATGCACCTGGACTCTGTGATTCCTTCCGATTCGGCGGTGGAGGAGGTTCGGTGGAGTTGAGATTCGATCCAGTCCTTCTGGCTGTTCCCTACCTAGCTCTGGAAGGATTTGTATGGAGTCCAATCCTAGTTCTCATACAAGTCCCTGCTTACTTCTCTTCTCACTAGCCAGGATTCGTACCGTTTTGGACTTCAACTCATCTAGCCCTACTGTAGCGTCCATGTTGATGGCTGCTGTAATCATGGAAACCATGAAGCTTCGTGACTCTCGTCACGCCCAGGTGACAGATGCCGCACATGAGGTTGTGCAACCTGTGTTGCAGGCCAGACGTTTGGAAGTAAATTCGGGAAGGGCACAGTGAATCGCATTGACCTTTCATGTGGAGCCATTGCAGTCGTTCCGAGTCATCACAGCAAGTTTCAACATAGCCATGGCGTCTCAGCAGTGGCAGCTGGTGCAAGGCAGGAAAGCCCCCAAAAGCTCTGATGCTTATATAATCCTTTCCATGCAGCTCTTTCAAACAGGTTCCCAGGTCCCAAGTATTGTATAAATGCCATTGTCGACTTCCTCTAGCTTATGCACCTTTTGTTCATGGCTCGTTTGAACGTGCCAAACATGTGTTGCAGACCGACTTCGCAGTCTTAGCATTGTCATCCACTGGCAGACGCACCGAAGTTACACCCTCAATCAGCATTCCACGAGCTCATTAGTACCTCTCGGCCTCAGGCATGCAGAAGATGAACCTGGGCCAAAGCACCTCCCAAGGCTGGCAGCTGGTGAGCCAAATGCAACCCTTTCCCCAAGCCATGGCCTCACAACCTCAGATGCAACAGCAGCAGCAGCAGCAGCAGCAGCAGCAACCTGCTGCGGCCTACCCAGCCTACCCGACCTACCCAGCTCTGGCCTACCCCTCCATGCCACCGCCCGGTGCGCCCGGAGCGTCCGCGCCTCCAGGCCCCTATGGAGCACCCCTTCCCCCCTTCCCACCGCAGGTGCCACAACAAGCACCGGGCACATGTCATGTCCAGAGAATTCGACACCAGGGCAGTGAAAAGAGCACCTTGGGCGCAGTGATTGTGACCATTAGCGAGGGCTGCTCTTATGATTCCATCTTCAAAGAGGTGGGAGACAAACACGGAGGGCCTGTTTCACCTATCGCTGTTTCTGCTGCGGGTCAAAACTCGATGCTTGCTGAGCTCTGTCCATGACCCTTACAACTTGCACATGTTATTTTTGTGAGTTCCAGGTCTGCGACAGGAGGCTGTCTTGCAGATATGTTTACTGTAATTTTATTTGTTTTGTTTTTGACATTGGTACTTTCTGATATATATATGTTTGGTGTTTCATTTATGTTCTTTTGTGGTCCTGGACATGTGGTATATAGTATTATATAATATATGTAATTTAAGACATGTTATTTGAATGATATGATATGTAAAGACTGAGAGACACCGTGCCCAACCACCTGGAACATTGTTGCGAACCTCGAAGCCCTGTAAAACACAGCACTTTTCTGACTTCTTTATGCTCTATTTATATATGTTTTATTCATGATTTGTTTTATGACTACTTATATGGTCTCATCATGATGCATTTCCAAGGTCGTACAAGCATCATAAAGATATAGACTATCACACCTGAATCATACCACGTTTCCAGAACCATAAACAATCAATTAAATTGAAACCATTCAAACAGCAAAAACAATATATCATCCTGAGTCTAGTCTCAGGCCGATAGTGGAAGTCACAATTCTATTTCAATCTTCTCCAGTTCTTGGAAGTGAAACACGCCGCTTGGAAGCGCCTTGCAGGTGGCACAAACGGATGACCAGGGGACCTCGGTGGCCACCTACTGTGTGTCGATCAGCGGCTTGGAGCAGCTGGGTGAGGCTTTGGAGGACAAGGACCGCGCCAGTGGAGACTTGGCGGAGCTCATCCAGGACTTGGGCCGTGTGCCAGCTGCGAAAGTGGTCTTCAATTGGGAGTGCTGCTCCTCCTGCAGTGACCTGGTGAAAAGTCAAGGAACGATGACACATGCCATTTTTTTGGAAGGTGTGGCTTGAAACGGAGGACATCATGAATCATGACACAATAAGTTGCCAAGTGGAAAGAGTGCACTCCTTCAGAGATTTCAGAGTCCCAGGTGAGCATGGATTTCAAGGTGGTGGCTTGTTGCCCTTCGGCGGATGCGGGCAGGTCCCACAGCGACCTTCGACATCCGATGCATCCTTACGACTTGCAAAGCTTGCATTGAACCGAGGGTATATGGCGTCTTGGCGACATAACCCCGACAGTGCGTCAAGTGGCAAAGCCCGTGAAGTTGAAAGAACAAAGCGGCAGCCCAAACGAGGCACTTTCGATAGGATTTCGCACCAAGTGGATGGTGTACCAGGTGAAGTTGAGCCTATATATCGTACTAGACTGCCATTAGATAAATATAAATATATGTATATATATATATGTTATGTAATATATACATTTTTGTTTTGATGTTCATGAAGATCGATTGATCTGACATGGAACCTTTTGTGAGCGCTCCTACCGATCATGCTCTGTTGGAACTGATCCGGATTCTTTGGGCTTCAAAAGGCAGACTTTGACGTCACGTCGGCTGGCCTGTGACGTGAGTTGGAATGAGTTTGGAGTAGCTGAGTAGCTTTTCTCATTGCCCCCCCCCAGTTCCTGAGATTCGTATCTTTAAGCATTGATGATGGACGTGGAATGCATGTTTCCGAAAAGAAGCATCGCATCCACCAACATCGTCCGGCCTCGGTCGGTCGGAAACGACGTCTCGGTCGAACCGCCTGAGGTGATGTTTTCGGACTTCAGCCTGAAAGCCTTGATCAGCCACTGGGATGTACATCTCTTCGGGCCGAACCCCTTTCGGCAGACCGGAGTGGCCTGGCAGAAAAATTCATTTTGGGAGAGATGCGTTGCATGGGTCGGAGGTCTCTGGAAAGTGGACTTTTAATTTATATATGTGGTTAAATGCTCAAAAATTGAGGGTGATTGCTCTTGGATCCAGAGCAGTTCTTCTCAACTTTCTGGGATGGTTTGCTTTTGCTAGATGCTGACTGGTATAGTGTGGATCCAGGGCACTTCTTCTCAACTATCTGAGATTGCAATGTCTTGCCAGATGCTGACTGGCTCACTAACTCTGGTTCGAACCCTCAGCAAGCCAGATTTCAAAGTGCTTGTCATGGTCGCTCTTGTCTTCTCGCAGACTGGTGGTTTGGTGTTGCAGCAGCTGTGTGTTGTGGACTCAGGGGTTGTAAGACATATCATGCTGGCCTCCTGTAGACTCCATCAATTCCGATTCAGCTTGCAACAATGACACTTTTGGAATGAGTTGCTCCCAGCCCTGGCAATCCTGGCGCATCTAATGTTTTAAGCCGTTTGGGCCGTGACACCTTATTGAATTAATGTCAGTTCATTCTCGCCCAGCACTGGGCAGGTTTGCTCTGGCCAATTGCAGTTGAACTTTGATCCAGAAGTGCTCAAGTCCTGCTCCTCACGCCAGTGACTGGGTGCCATCCCACTTTTTTTGATTGAATTCTATTTTTGGGCTTTGCTCATCATCTCAAAGATAAGGGCATCAACTCGGACTGTTCTTTGTTTTTTCGAGGCTGGCGAAAGTTGGAGAGTTGTGCCAAGACGGCAAGGCGCTCATTCAGGCTGCTTCGAACACCATTGCCTCCCCAAAGCTGCTGAATTAGATCTTTTCTTTGGAATCGTTGTATTTGTATGTGACTATTTGTCATTGGGTTCTGAGTGTCCACAGACAGATGTTGGAACGTCAGAGACAGCTGTCTTGCAAAGCATGGGCAAACTCGGCAAACTCGGCAAACTCTTAGGTCTATGAGGTGGTGGAGGGAGCTGCAGAAACTGCTGAGAGGTCAACGGCCTATATGTTGCAGATTCTCACGACGGCCACGAACCCCCACACCCCCTGGTTGCCGCAGACGCAACAGAAAAGCACTGCTGGTCATGTGCTTCTCAGCTATCCCAGTGGAGGCCGCATGTTGACCAGTGCAGGGCATTGGAAGCTTGACGGAGGTTGGAGGGAACACTAGAGATCCAGGGACTTCAGAAGAGTCAGCTTTAGTAAGCTAACATGATAGTAGCCACAAGTGTTCTTGAACACTTCATGATAATTGGTTGCTGGTCTAGATCTGGATGTTGCCTGATCTCAACGTGATCGGGTCTAATTAAGTACATGTTCAGCAAAATTCCCATGGCAGCATGGCAAACTTGGTTTGAGGAAGGAGCTGGTGCATCTGGGTGGAGTTTCCGAAGAGGCTCTCTTGCGCGTGGCCGAGCGGTACTACGGGAAGGCCTACAGTGGCCCAGATGCAGCAGAGCAGTCGATTGTTCTAGCCCAGAAGCCATTTTGCACCAGCTACTGTATTTAGAAACAAAAACAATAAACACATCAGCATCAGCACATGTAACTAATGTAGGTCAGAACTCTCGCTGTTTGCTTTTAACTTTAACTTAAACTACCATCACCATATCAAGTTTTGTGGCAAGACCTACGGCCCTTCGCAGCATAACTATACCTCACTCGCGACAGCGAGGATTCTCTCTCCAAATCAGCGGGTCAATCCTACGAAGAGATTGAGCAGAGTTGTTGCAGCGGGTCAAAGCCATCCTAGTCTAGATCATTTCACCTAGTAATGGATGAGGATCGAGGCCTGAGGTGAAAGCCACTGAGGTACCAACTTGGGTGCTCAGCTACAGCAATGCTGCGACATGGGCAGCCGCATGCAGATGCAACAGGCTTCAGCACAGCAGTTTGTCCAAATGAGCGCGCCATACTGAGCGTGTGATTCCGCCTTGGATCCAAGCTGTGGACTTCGGATGAGAAGTGGTGCAACCTGTGCAGACTCAGAGTTGTGCCAGCTCGCCGTTTTACCGCTCTTGTGGCGCTGATTCAGTCATTTGTCCTCACACAGCGTGTACAGAATGAGAGGATTGATGCAAAACAACTAGAGGGGGTTGGAGGCTTTTCAGTCCGCTTTTGTCTAATCTCTGCCTGTTTGGTCAATGCTCTTGAGAAGGAAAACCCCATTGGGGATGCCAGTGGTACCGAGTTGTGCTGCAGGGCGGCCTTGCAAGTCCGGGCGGCCTTTTGCCGGAGCGGCTGAAGCTGTGGACCGGGCGTCTCTGAGAAGGCCTCCACCATGAGGCACGTTCAGATTGTGGTGGGATGTGGTAGGCAGGCTCTTGTTGCTTGAGAGTCCATGGCATGTGAACAGAAGGTGCTCTTGTTTGCTCCTTCTGAAGCAAACACGTGGCCTTCATGAGCGTATCTGTGCTGTGGCGAATCTGTTTTGCGGAGGTATTTGCAGGGAGTGACGTCAAAGTGGATTCCTCCGCGACAGGGGCTCTCAGATGACCATATGTTTGAGTTCGAGGTGGTGTTGCCTTGGTTCTTTTTCGTTCGTCTTCCTTGGCCCTGGCCTTTTGCTTCTTATCCCTTTCATTTCATTTGTCCGTAGGCTTTTGGTGGAGACATGGCAATACTTAGGCCGGCCTGCAAATGATCCGGCTGCAGAGGGCTTTGGTGCTCGGAAAAGGGTGACTTGGGAGTCTGATGGCCGGTGCAGAATCTACCCTGGCAGAAGAGCCCCATCTACTTCTTAGCCTGGAAGAGCGTTGAATGTAGAGAAGGCACCATAGTAGGTACGCTTACCTCCTTGCAGTGCGGCTTTGGAACATTCGGAGAGTGACAGTGTCGCTGAAAGTATCACAGTCCTCGAGACCTCACTTAATCGTAAAGAGCAATGCATGAGAGGCTGACCTGGTTGCACCTCATTTCCGTGCCTCAGCCCTTGGCACAAAGCACGTCAACAGCAAGAAGCACATGATTTGGCATGATCTGGGTTGACAGTTCTGCCAGCAACTGCGAGGGTTAAACACCGTGGACAGCCTGGTTGACACATCCCAAAAGCACCATGCCGCTGGTGGAGGTGTTTGCCCGGGAGGAGGATATGCCCAAGATCAAGGTCGGACGTTGGACGGATGGGAGTCATTGTAGATCTCGGTGGGGTGAGGAACCCGACGTTTTGAGGAATCCGGACGTGTCCATTGTACAAGGCTGTGAAACAAGATCCGGATGGGAAAGGCGCGATCTCAGTGGGTGGATGGTGATCTAGACTTGTCAATGGCCCACACTGAGCAAGCGTTTGGGGATATTTTGTGTATGTTACCTGGTTATTCCACTTTCTTCATGGGTTCTTGTGACATCCTTAAAGTCTTCTTGCTGCGGTTGCATGAGTCCTTGAGAACATGTGCATTTGTATAGTTCTTTTTGCTGCAAGAGAAACGACAGCCACCCGTGGCGCCCATCCAGGCGGCTGAGTTGTGCCACTTCCTTCAGGATCACTTTGCAGTGGAGCCCGGCGTGGGGAGCCATGAGGGCACTGAATGTACCACAGAAACGACGAACACGACGAGTGGCGAGACAGAAGGTTCTGCCATCCGAATACGGCATGTACCTCGTCTCAAGCCTCGTCGAAGAATGGGAAGGGAAAGAGCTCAGTCTCTTGTGAAGGTGTGCTGGGTGGTGTGCTGGGTGGTGTGCTGGGGGGTTTGGGTGGATCCTGGATCCTCTACAAGTTATGGTTAGAATCTAGCGATCTTGATGATTTGTGACCCGCAAATGAAGTGCTCCTCAAAGGATACCTCAGATGCTGTCATGTTAAGGCAGAGATCATAGATTGAGTTCATCTTAGGAAACAACTGAAAAGTGACTTGATTGGACTCACTCGCTTGCACACCCGTCTCATGCGTTGAGGTGGTGCAAGTGATGATGAGCGTGGTAAAGGACGCGTAGTGTTCGCAAGACACCACAAGACACCACTGACAATATGCAAGTCACCACGAGACACCACTGAGCAGTTCTATCTGGAAAGGTTAATTCATTCATATTCATTCAATCTTGATAGAATCAATTCAGATGAATAGTTCAACCCGTGTTGATCATTTGTGGGCGTCAAATCCTGTCCTATCAATTCCTGGAGCATGACAAAATCGTATCTATGATGCATCTAGTATTCTTCTGTCGCAGGGTTCTTGTTGGTTCTTTCTTGGGATCCTGCACAGTTTAGCTTTGTTGAGGATGCAATTTCATGTCCGCGCCCTTCAGACCTGTTTTTGTTTGCCTCTCGGACTTCTGATTCAGACTGTTCCCATTGTAGATACAACATAGCGAGGTGCGTCGGTCGATCGGTGGTCACGCGAGATCTCGGCGCGTTTGGACCGCATGCTTATCCTGCAAGTCTTTTCACTTGTGGCATGCAGGACCTGGCACCTGAGCCAGTCAGGACCCCAGATGCCGCTTAAGAGCCTCTGCTTAAAGAGGTGTTTTGTGTGTTCAGCGTTGGACATGCACTGCCGCAAGATCAAGCTGAGCATCATTACTGTCAGCTTTCTGTTTACACAACTCTCAGCGGCAACTGCACCAATCCTTGCAATTTTCAGTGAACCCGCAAGCTCTTTCTTAGGCACTAACATTATCTTTCTTTCCATTGTCCATTCTAAGACTCCCTTTATAATATACAACTGTAGTGTTTTGATATGGGTTGAAACGTTGTTGCTTATGCAAGGCGGTGTAGGACAGAGGATTTCTCATCAGATCACTAGTTTCCTAACAACCAGGCAGCTGACAACAATCTGGGCCTTTCAGGGTTCGTCCCTCACAAGGCTTGCAACACCCTGAAGGGGAAAGCACCACCCACTTGTTTTTGTGGATCAAGTAGATCAACAGCCCCCGCTGTGTGAGGTGTACTTGAGCATCCGCGCCAAGGGCACTCCGCCTCGCCGAGAGAAGGTTGCGGACCTGCTGGCAGGGATTGGAAGGCCTGATTTGGATGGATCAAGTTCTCGGGGGTGGATTTGGGTGGATGTGGTACGCTAACCTTGAGGAATCTTCTTGAATCTTCCAAGACCTCCAAAAAAGAACCTTTCTTTCGAAAGAAAAGCACATTTAGTTCCGGAAATCTGATGACACCAACCTTCCATCCGGGTCGATGTCTTGAAAGGTTTCAACACCAACAAGGCTTCCTTCCGTCTTCTTCTCTCGTTCGCCCGTCGCCCAATCTGCCACCGGCACCGTGGGATCTAGGTACTTGGACTCGAAGGGCCTGGGCCGTGGGAAGATTCGCATCGAACTCTTTGAGCCATCGCAGCAAGCGGCCGGGGAACCCTGGGGGAAGCGGCCGAAGCGAGAGTCTTGAGCAGAGATGGTTTGGATGAACCGTGTTGATGTGGTCAGTTGACACAGATGCGAAAAAGAACCAGACACAGGACACAGGGATGTTGTTGTGTTGGATATTGGATATTGGATATTTGGGATATTTTGGGATATCAGTCGAAACAGTGACAATCAGTGAAGCGGAGGGTTGGGGCTTTCACCCCAAATCATACCACGAATGAAGCTGCTGAAGGCCCTGTAGATCCTTTGGGTTCCACACAGAATCACACTCCTAAGTAGTTAGCGGTAGCACACACAGGAAGATCTGCAGTTGAGCTGCAATTGGCCAAATCTCTCAGGATTGGTGTTTTAAATGTCTCAAGTCCCAAGAAAGACATCCGTAACTCGGACGATGTGCACTCTACAAGAGCCGAGCTTTCCCTCTACAACATGCACGAGCTTTCGCCTCTTCCCGGGCTCGGCAGTGCGTCTCCGCCAAAGCTCCTGTCTCCAACAGGTGCATTCCTGGGGCACCTCCAAGCTGTGAGGGGCCAAAGCTAAGACCCGAGAAGAGCAGCCGAGAAGACAAGGAGCAAAAGAACGAGGAGACGTGGCGGTCCTGCTTGGATGCACATCCTTGCAGATGTCAAAGTCACATGTTGGATATCATCAGAATTCTAGCTAGCCATTGCTGAGTTTTGTCACAAGGCATTCCGGAATAGAGAAGTGGGCAGCCCTTCTATCTCCAAGTCATTCTAAATCTCATTAGCTCTTGCTGAGCTCGTCGGCGCTTAGCATAGTGACAGATCTCCCTTTGCTGCCAGCTTTGGCTCCAATATATGTCAAGAACAAAGCTCTATATGCAAAAAACACCACATGGGCAATCAGAGTGCACATGTGCAGCCGAAGCTCAGAATTGCGGGCCAACCATGCCAGCTGGAACCATGCCACATCATCCGGCCCGATGAGATCCACTCTTTGCCAAATAGGCAACCAGACCATTGATGGTGTCCCGGGTATGAGGACACAGTCGTATGAGAAAACATGCATGCAACCCATGTATGCATTGCATTTTTTTCCAAAAGACCGCATGTTTGTGCGATATATACTAGCAATCACTAGTATACCAGTACCCACACCTTTGGATGTAACCTCACGGCCACACAAAATCCAGTGTGCTTTCCCTTCCACGCATTTTTTGAGCAGAGCTTGCCATGGATGAAGCGCCTTGCCAGGCTAATCAGCCACAGAAAAAACACGGTGGCCACCTGTGAACGCTCCTTCTCAACTGGAGAGCCTGAGAGTTGACAGGAAAACAGTTGGAATCTTTATTGAACACACTTGGTGTTTAGTTGAACATATGCACCAATTCAGCCCTCACCGTGCCTCACTGACATCAGCGAAAAGTGAGTTCACCCCTGAGCCAGGTCCCAGTGGTCTCAAAAACGGTTGCTCGTGGTCGCCAATGTGTTCAGGGTCGTGTGTGGGCATTCTGCCACCTGTGGACCAACTGCAGCCCTGCATCGCGCCCTGCATCGCCAGCAAGCAAACAAAGAGGTCAACTCCTGTGATCCCCCAAGTAAATCATCCAACATATCCAAGTAAATCCCCAAGTAAATCATCCAAATCATCCCAAGTAGTCATTTGATTTGCAACTTTGATCAAATTCTTGCCAGACATTGGACTGCCATGAGAGAGCCCCTTTGCTCCAGGCTAGGCCTATCAGTTGTGGTTGCCTTCGTGGGCTTCCAGGCCTGAGTGCACACTAGTTACCATGCAAAATGACAACCTGGGTTGCCAGTTGCTGCTACTTTCAGTGGTTGGAATTATGGATATCGTACTTGAACACGTCTCAGTGGTTTGTAGGGAGCTTGTGAGAGCTATCTCCTCAACATTCCTCAACCATGCCATTGATAGCAATGCAGCAAGGTGTAAGGGAGAGCAGTAGCTGAGTGCCCTAACGCAGTTGAGGAAGTGGCCAGGAACCTTGAAACCATTTGAAACCTCGAAATTTCCGTGGTGTAGCTGAACAAATCCCTGTCTAAGCCGCAGCCTGAGGCCTTTTCAGCGTGGCAGGCACATTGGGGTCGCTTTGCGGTCAGCCTGAGAGACGGGGGTCAATGGACTGGGGCGAGGCATCGCTTTTTTGCAGCCTCCATGCTCCATGCTCCCGGTCGCACCTTTGGATGGAGCACTGAAGACGCAGAACAGTTGTTGCAATCCAACCTACTAGCGGTGGCCTCCAACCTAATAGCAATGGCCTCCAACCCAAGAGCGATGGCCTCCAACCCAAGAGCAATGGCCTCCAACCAATGAGCGATGGCCTCCAACCCAAGAGCGATGGCCTCCAACCTATATTATAAGAGCGGTGGCCTCCAACCTAAGAGCAATGGCCTCCAACC